GTTGCGAAAGTGATTCCCCAGCCATATCCTCTGGATAAGCGCCGGGAATATCTCCTAAGTTTGTAAAAATGTCTTCAAAGATGTCCTCTCGGCCAGACGTGGATGGAGGGTCGGACAAATTCAGTCTAATCTCCTTAAACGCCAAATTGAGGGCTTCGTCTACCTCAGTTCCCAATTGGTCTGGTTCTTCGGCGATCTGATTGACTACTTGTTCTTCTGCATGTTCCGAAGCGGAGGCTTCTAAATCGATCTCCTTCAGACTTTTAAAGCTGGGAAAGATGAGGGCTGTAAGATGATCTTCACCTCTTGGAACTGAAATATGGTTTGTTGCCAAAAACGTTGCGTAGAACGGACGGCGCGTAGTGCAAGAGAATATGAGTCGCTCTTCCTTGCTTCTGAAGATTTGGACGGCTAATGAATTGCAGAGCGATTTTAATATCAGCAAGTACAGCGTCGTCGGCCGAAACCAACATTTTCTTTAACTCGTTACCTGCGCAAACAAAACAGTAAGTACATGAAAGAAGAGCCGAATACACATGTGGAAATATAAGCAACTAGAATGAGCTATACAGTCACCTGGATCGCCTTTTCGCCTTGGCACGGGATCTAGGCGATCTTCACTCTCACCGAATTCCCAGTTGCCTTGAAAAATGACCATTACGTTGTCAACATGCTTGCCAGAGCTGGCAAGCATGGTCACTAAATGATGATCGGTGTCCTTGGGCCTAAGAAAATAGCGTCCTAGACGGCCAGTGGACTTGGCAAAGACATAGCAATGCTGAATTGCAAGAATGCCTAGGTTCATCCTAAGACGACGGTTTAACTCTATGATCCCCATTATGATGCGAAAAATTCATGTTAGGCTGGGAAGGGATTAGGGCCCAATGTCGAAAGACGGCTCTAAAAAATGGATGAAGGGGAAAACGGACGCCGTCTTCAATAATCAATAGGAGAGAAAAGATGATTGTGCTTTCGTCGGTCCTTTGCATATCGGTGGTGCTATCTTCCACGAGTGACAAATGAACGTCATCGATGATGGAACAATGGCATTGGAAGCTAGAAATCTGATCCGCAGAAAGGAGTGCTTTCAAATTTTTTGCCATTGTAGCCAGCCTAAGGATTATGCAAAACTAATAGTAAACAAGAAAATGGTATTGGGAGTGAAAGAGAAGAGAACTTACAAGGAGCGGAAGGGATAATGAGAGACAGAAGAGAGTTGCAGAGGTCGCGAGGTGGAGGAGTTGTACTAGAAGGAGAACCAAAAAATCTTGAGTATTTAAAGTATACATTCGAAGAGACAAAGTTTTAAACCACATTAAATGGAGGAAGCGTATGAAGAGATGGGAACTTGTAATGATGACTAGAAAACGTGTGTGTTCTGACACGCTTCGGAATGAGGTTAACCGTCGAATTTTTGCCTTTTCAAGATTGATACCAAACACGTCGACTAAACAGAGTTAGTGAGGTCTTCGGAGGGCAATTGTGGTAGCCGAATAAAAGTAAACGCAGATAGGCAGTGTATATTTTCCCAATCGGTGTATAGTATGCACTCGGCCCCGCCCCTGACGTTTCAGATGCCGAATAAGTTGAGCAGGGGGCCGATTAAAAGTTGGAATACGGCATAATGGGGGGGGCCGTGTGAATAAGTACATGACAGATCAAGAGCGGGCCCTGCCTAGAAGACCAGGAGCGTATATAAATAGAAGAACGACGAACAAGAAGAGGTATGTGAGAATTAGTACGCTTAACTTAAGACACACGCAATCAAGAGAGCATACATTGACTTATCCGTCGGAGTGCTAATTCCGGCACCCCTGACCGGAGTGTTCATTCTTTTTTACGCTACCGGCTGAGGATCTTGAGCGTCCCATTGGATCCAAAGAGTATTTCCAAACTACCTTACCCACAGATAGTATCTCGGAACTAGGTTTCTTATCAAATGCAGTTCTGAAACAAGGCAGACTGGGAGGGATCTTGTGGAATACATTCTTATCTAAATAGGACTTGAAACTCTATAAGAAATTACACAAGACTTATCCTACTATAAGTATCTGAAAAAAGACTTATAAATAAGTCCCCCAATTTTTTTTAACCAAACTAAAACAATTATAAAAAATTAAAAATTAGACAAAAATAAATCCTTCTAAACGAAGGTTAATTATTAATATTTACTACTTATTTATAATTAATTTTTACTGACCCTTGGGTGTGATTTGCCAATAATTTTTTCATAAAAAATGATTTAAAACTCTAATTCGTAAGCTTTAAATCCAGCTCTGACAGTGAGCCCTACCTAGGGTAATATTTTTGTCTTGATTTTTTTTTTTCACCTTGCTATGTTATTATTGTTCCATCAAAACACCAAAATTAATGATTATTGCTGTTTTTCCATATGGCGGGGGTGCTGTACTGCAGGAAGATTCAGACAGGCACGCGGCACCATGTAACTTCCATACAAAACAGGAAAAAGTTTGGGAAAATGTTTAAGTGTGCAACTCCTTTATACGGTTTCACATTATATGTAAGGTATAAATGTAAGGTTGAGCATTATTGTTTACACCATGTAAGGTCGTAAATGCCTTGCATACCATATGCAAAATCAGTAATTGAATATTTATTTTGGAAAAAAAATTATTTCCTTTGTAATATTTTCAATTAAAAAAATTGATTAATGTTATTTTTTGTTAATAATTTTTTTTATTGAATTTTAAAAAGAGTTTGGTTAGAAATGTTTCTCAGAATTTTCAATAGAGTTTTGAGTAGTGTGTTTGGTTATGAGTTATAACAGTTTGAATTAAATTTTAAAAGAAAAATGTTTGGGACCTCTAATTTAGAGGTACCACTAGTGATGCACCCACTGCCACTGTCAGTCATGTGTCTTGATTTTTTTTTTCACCTTTTCCACCTCATTAGAGGTGTGTTTAGAGGTGTGTTTTTAGAGGTCTCTAGAATTGTTGGTTTTGAAAACTCTTTCAAAAACTCATAACTAAACAAATTTTTTTATTTCACATGTCACATCAAATATTCAAAACTTAATTCAACACTCAATTCAAAACTCAATTCAAAACTTTTTTCAAAACTCATAACCAAACAAATTTTCTACACTCAAATCATAATTCCAAAACTCACAAACTCAAAATACAACCCTATTCTCAAATCATATTTAGAAAATTCTACCAAACGCTACCTCAATTTTTTTTGTTTTTTATTTTTTACATTTTTAGTGAATTTTTTACATCATATATGGAGCTGATGTGTTAGTAACGTGGCAGATTCTGTTAGTTTTTTGGATGAAAGTTTGTCTAGGAATAAAGTGGGAATGATTGCAAATATAAAGGGTCAAAGTGGGATAAATTGCAAACATGAATGGCCAAAGCGGGAAGGATTGTAAACATGAAGGATTAAAGTGAGAAAAATTAAACTTAAAGGGCCAACGTGGAAATTGGGCGAAACTTTAGGGGGCAAATTGTAATTTACTCATAATCTAAATGACCATTCTACTGTTGTTGACTTTTTGACTTTAAATTTTTTAACTTTTGGGTAGTTGAATTCAAATAGCAAAATAATAATTTTTCCCTCTAGACTTTCCTCACAGGCTTTCTCAAATAATATAGAATTTTTGACTTTTTTAGTAACTTTTAGCTTTTATAAGTTATTATAAACAAAACTATTTAGAATATCTTTATATTTTCATCAAATTGAAAATAGTTGTACCTTTCATCAATTTATTGTTCATAATTGTTAGAGATGCAGGACATATACCATTACTAGATGACCTGCTAATTGTTCTCGATCGATTACCTCATAGTAAAAATCTATAAAAAAAATTATATTAACTGGTCAGCCGGACATGGACCTCTCCCTCCCCTCAGGAAAAGAAACAGAAAAAACCGAGTCTGGTTCACAAACCGAGGCAAGGCACAAAAGAGGGTTCAGAAGTTTGGAGGCAAGGCTCACGGCCGCGACTCTGAAACTTCTGAACGAGCACGATATGCAACGTCACCTAGCGCTCAATTGGTAATGTCTGATTCTTAAGGTCGGTCAAAAATGGGGTGTCTACAAAGGCGCTATTCGAAATAGCGTTTTCTTCACAAACCAAATGAAGCGCTATTTGCAACAGCGTTTTCTTAATCAAACTCACGAATTGGAATAGCGATTACACTGTTCATCAAATTTTGACCTCCTCACAATAAAAGCCCGAATCGAAATGGCGCTTCAACTTAGTTTGAAAATTTCGTCAGAAGGTAGCCTAGTTTGAAAAATAAAATACAAAAGAGGCTTATTTTGGGAAAACCCCCTAAATCACCTCTGGTACTCAAAAGGCTTTCAAACGTCGAAGTTCGCGGTCACCATCTTCACATAAATCTCCTGAACATCAATCAATAAACCACTGTAACCAAAACACTCTCTCTCTCTCTCTCTCTCATGCAAGTCTCAGACATGCGAGCTCTCAGAACCCTCTATGCCCACAAACACCTCCGCATTCTTAGTTCACAGAAACCCCCCTCATTTCCCACTCTAATCTCATCTAAATCATTTCCCCAAAACCCTAAATTTTCCCTCCAAAGAACCCTCTACTCAACCCCTCATCTTCTCTGCAACGAATCGACCAGTTCAAATTCATGGGCTACTCTCAATAGTCCAAGAACCGAATCAAAATCCAGTGTGAACACCGTTTACGATCCAGTCTCGGGGAGTCTCGTCACAAGTAGAGGGTCAAAACGAAACAACAACGATGGAGAATCGGAGTTGAGCAATGGAGATGAAGATGTGTCGAAGAGGAGTCATGGGGATGTTCGGAGAGGGAATTTGGGAGGTGGGTCTGAGAAGAGGTTGGGATTTGGGGAGATTTTGGTGAATAAGAAGAAGGGGAAGAGTAAGGAGCAATGGGTTTGTTCGGATTGTGGGCATTCGGATGGACAGTGGTGGGGTTCGTGTAGAGGGCTTGTAATAGCGTGGGCACTGTTAAGAAGTTTACGGAAGTGGAGTCTGATGGGGGGAAGGGAAGTGGGTTTGAGGTTTCAAACAATGTGGTAAAGTCTTGGTTGCCGACGCTGTCGGGAGAGGTGGTGCCGATGAGATTGACGGATGTGAATCGGGGGATTAATCAGCTTAATTGGCGAATTCCATTGTGAGTTTTCACTGTCTTGTTGGAGCTCTTAATTCATGTTTACCCTCGGTTCGTTTGGTTGAAAAAAGAAAATATTTTTCATAGAAAACGTTTTTATATGTTTAGTTTCCTTCGTGAAACTAATAAACTAATGACATTAGTGGTGGTGAAAGTGGTGGCAGCGGGTTGAAGATGGAGGTGGGGAGGCGTTTGGGCGGCTGTGGCGGCAACTGCTGTAATGGTGTGGTGGTAGCGGCCGTGGAGGTGGAGTTGGTGGTGATAATGTGGTAGCATTGGTAACTTTAATTCAGAAAACGTGAAGAATATTTTATGCTTAAATAAACTTGTTTCTGGCCCCCTTGTTTTCAGAGTTAGAAAGGTAAAATGGATAGTCAGGATTAATTAATAGTGAGGAAATTGTTAGGAAGGGGATTGATAATGTGGAGTGGTGGAGGTGGAGGTGGAGGTGGAGGTGGAGGTGGTGGTGATAATGTGGTAGCATTGGTAACTTTAATTCAGAAAACGTGAAGAATATTTTATGCTTAAATAAACTTGTTTCTGCTCCCTTGTTTTCAGAGGTAGAAAGGTAAAATGGATAGTCAGGCTTAATAGTGAGGAAATTGTTAGGAAGGGAATTGATAATGTGGAGATTAAATTAAATTGTGTTTGTTTTGATGATAGTTGTTAATTTGAGTTGTTAAATTATTATCCTATAAAAGAAATATAAAATATTAAAACAAATAAAATTATAATTTTTACTTAACAAAAAATTCAAAAATATTAAACATTAATGTTGAAAAAAATGCTTAACATGTAAATAAAAAAACAAAAAAACTATCACCACCTTTTCCTAAACAAAAAATGCCTAACATGTTAATCTCATGGGATTAATTTCCTAATACTATCTCCACCTTTTCCATCTTAATCCCAACACTAAGGCCGATCCTAATCTCATGAGATTATGAATCCCTCTCCATCTCTCAAAACAAATACAACATATAGTGGGTCCTACTTCCGTCTCAATCCCAATCCCATTTTTATCTCTCAAAACAAACGGGGCCTCTATTGGCTATAAAGAATATTTTTTTTTTGTTGATTTTTGTTTTCTGTTATACCAACTGCCGTGCCCAAACAAACAGAGCATTAGTCTGTACATCAATCTTATATGTTACTGAAATTACAGGTGTTAGTAACTAATCCATGAATGTGATGTTTAAACACCCTGCATTAGTGGATTGTTGTTTGTTAGTTGTTACCCAAACACATTGATTGACTATTGTGTTCAAGCTGGTTGGCTTAGAAAATTGAACTCCCTAAAGGGGTGGGGGGAAGGAATAACAAATATAGATAGCATATCTTGTGTTTAGGAGACTATTGGGGTCTGTTGAGTTCTTGTCAGATGAACTATGAGATAATTGTCCCATCATAGGAAGAACCGGCATAGAATAAAAAGGGAAATCCTCACGGCATGCTCTTGAGGTTGATTTAGTCTATACATTGCTTATTTTAGGAGATACATCGTCATTTTTTCAATTATATTGTATGGACTGTTTATATCTGGTATGCTTGATGTTTAGGTCTGGACTATTTGGATCTGAAGTTGCTAGAGTGCTTGGTGGTGGTCTTGTTCCAGGTATAATTTTTCTTCAGCTCTCTGGAGATGTCTGAGGATCTTGGCAGGAAACTTTATAGCCTATGAGTTAGGCTGCATCTTTCTCCTATAATATTTTTAAAATTTCCTCGGCATGCACTTCTTTTGTTCTGCACTTTCCAACACTACAAGTTAGAATCAACAATGCATTGGAGCGTTTAATTTCGATTTGCTATGATAATTCCATGTTAGACATTAAGTTGGATTTTAAATATTCTATTATGTTGTGATGTTTGCTGGGTTTTGTAGGTTGTTTGGTTTTGGTTGGTGGTGATCCTGGTGTTGGCAAGAGTACATTGTTGTTGCAGGTATGATTTGGTTCAAGGATTGAAGTGGTCACTTCGAGATATATAATGTGGGCATATTTATGGTTTTGTTCCATTAACTTGCTTTTGAATAGATTTTCTTTTCTTTGTTGAACTTGTTGTCTTTCACTCTCTCTCTTTCCCGATAAATCTATGCTGATGTCACATCTTACTTTTGAATGGGAGATTGCTGCAATAATAGCAGAAGGGCGTGATTTTGGTGCACCAACTCCGGTTGTTTATGTTTCTGGTGAAGAGGTTAGTGTTTATTAAGCCACATAAAAAAATGATTGAGCCTGCAGTTAAAGCTACTTATTTCATAAATCCATATTCATTTTTCAACTTACTTGCTTGTCCTGTCTTTCCATTAGATATAATTTTTTTTCCCCTTTTGATGAGTGAAGTATTGACTGAAAGCATCAAAGCAGGGGCGCCATTCATATACAATTTACAAACACAAACACCTTTCCTTGTTGACCATTGTCCTTTTCTTATTCTTTTTATTTTTCTTTTTATAGTAAGGGAGTGTGTGGACGCTGTTGAAAATTTGATTATAATCCTTCTTTTATTTAATTTTGACAACTTTATTTTGTTGTTCAAATCATCCAATTTCATTCTACTTGGGGGGGAAGGAGAGGACCAAAAAGAAAAATGAGGACTTAACTTCTTCCATGATACTTCATTTGTTTATCTTCCTAATGGCAGAGTGTTGAACAAATTGGAAACAGAGCTGATCGACTGAGGATTGGAACAGAAGAACTTTTCTTATATTCAAGTACTGATATTGAGGTGCATGATTCTGGACATATCTGCTTTGGTCAATGATCACGCCAATTTACCTTCTGCGGCACTAAAACGTGTGACTCAAATTTTATCAGAATAATATTTTTGCTGAGAATTATGTCTTCTAATGTAGTCTAGTGACTCTAGTGTCAGTAATTGCATATTGAAGTGCATGTTTGTGTTGCTCTCTTTCTCTCTCTCAAATTCTTTTTTATTGAGTCAACATTGATTATCATTTCATGGCTGTTGAACAGATGTTTAGTTAAATCCAAAAGAAAATTTTCTTAGGACTTTTTAGGTGGAGCTTCCCAAGTGCCTGTTTTTAACTAGTAGAATTTGTTGGTGATATATTAACGATGTAATGTATTTGTGTACCTGTAAGTTTATTGTAATGCAATTTAAGGCTGACAGATGTGTTATAACTTAGTTTGCTGGGGAAACAAAGTTTCATTTAGTGGAGTTGAAACAATACTTATTAAATGAAACATATTCATGCTAACTTATGCCCGTAAATGTGGCTATGGCATATTAGTCCTCAAAATATTTACTTTTCTAAGTATTGTTTGATGCCTTCTTTCAGGACATATTGGGGAAAATTTTTCTTCTCTCCCCTCGGGTTTTAATTGTTGATTCCATTCAAACAGTTTATCTGAAAGGAGTGACTGGAAGCCCTGGAGGAATTTTCCAGGTTTGACTATTTTTTGAATACTTTAGCAGCTGCTACTTTTAATTGGAAAAGCAGTTTTTAGTTTGGGAGATTATCATTTTTGGATGCTTCAATTTTGATCATTTGGGTAAAAAGCTATGCTAAGTTATATTTACTCTATAAGTCACTTTCGTTTTGCATCTATGTTAATTCCCTAGTTTAGGTTGTTTATACAGTAACAAAGGTTTTCTTTGTAAGAATAGCAGTTTTTCCTCTTTTATCTTGATGGCCTGAAATGGTGCCATTCTCAGTTAAACTGTATTTTAAAATAGAATCAACTGTACAATATTTAGCTCATGTAATCTAGTAGTTTATTATGCCTAGACTGACTTGATATTTGACAGGTGAAAGAATGCACATCAGCATTGCTGCGTTTTGCGAAGAAGACAAACATTCCTGTTCTTTTGGTGAGTGTACAGTTTTGAAATCTGAGTGCTTTATTTATTTTTGTCCAATGTTTTAGAGTTCATAACTTGATTTGGCTTAGGTTAGACTTAAATTTTCTCAATTTCTGATGTTAAAATTATAATATGCTCACTGTTTCATTGTGCACTGACATGTTGCCTCTTTCAACAGTAAAATTTTAAAATGTTGAAATTGTTGGGAGTATTTAATTTTTCCTTACTGTTAATTAAATTATTTCTATTTTACATGCATTTTTTTGTCTATGTTACGTGACTGCTAAATTTGTGAAGTAGCCATGTCAAATGCTCAAGACTTTGGTAAGGGTGTGAGATGTAAGAAATATAAAATTTAACCATGTTCCAGTTTCCGTTGATATGAGAATAAGATGAATTCAACATTCGTCACATATTAGCACCTAACATCCATACTGAGTCTACTTATCAAAAAAAAATGCACCCCCTAGTTGAGTCCATTTAACATAGATGGTGTTTGGGAAGTGAGTTTTTATGTAGATTTTAGTAGATGTAGGTTTTTATGAGATAAAATTTTTTTGGTGTTTGGGAAGATAGTTGGGTTTTTATGTGGTTGGATGTGATGTTTGTGAGAGAAAAAGTGAAATGATTATGGGGTTGGATGTGATATTTTGTTTGGATGTGTTTTTTTTGGTTTTGCAAAACTTTTGTCTTTTAGTGGAAAAAATGAGAAAAAAATTTGGGAACATGCTTCCCAAACACCACCATAGTCTTTTGCCTCTTCTTGTTTACAAAATTGACCAGCTTCATCACATCTTGTTTCTGTTCATTTCTACTTCTTGTTTCTAATGATGCTACTTGTCATGTATTGGTGCAGGATGTTGCCTTTCGATGAAAATTTTAGGCTGTCCTATAACTAGGTTTAAGCCGCAAAGGTTTTAATTTTAAAGGTTTATGGTTAAGAGGGTTAAATTAAGCATAACTTAAGGGTGGATTAAAAGATTATATTGGTTGAGGTTTAGGTCTGTTTGGGTGATGTAGAATAGTAGGGAAAAAAGAGATCAGAATGCTCAACAGCAACCTATTTATAGACTAAGATTTGTGGGAATGAGGAACCTATTTAAGACTTAAGATTTGTTTTCTTGTTATGTTGTATAGTCGGATCTGGAGGGGGTTAGACCTAACCTACAGTAATACTTGGATTGTGTTGACGTTTTAGTTTTTACATTTCCCGCAATATATATATATCAGTGTTTTAAAGGCTCAAGGTGCACTAAGGCGACGAAGGTCTCTTGGGGCTTAAGCGTAAGGCGAGGCGCGAACTTTATTGAAGTAAGATGCACACTATTAGTAAAAAATAGATAAATTAACATAGACAATTCATGGTCTCAGTGTAATGTGTGGTGAATTAATTATTTGTACCTTTTCTCTTAACGGAGATTGAGACTCAAAATTGAAATGGAAGAGAAACAACATTGAAGAAGAGAATAAAAAAGACGTGGTTGCAAAAAAACACATAGACAGAAGAAGACCTTTTTCTCCTAACAGAGACTGAGACTGAGACTCAAAATTGAAATGGAGGAGAAACAACATTGAAGAAGAGAGAGAAAAAGCAGAGACATGGTTGCAAAAAAACACACAGACAGAAGAAGAAGAAGAAGACAACATCAAAGAAGCAAAAAAGAAAAAAAAAAGACAAAAAAAATACAGCAGCGAAGGGGAAGAAGGAGGAGAAGGAGGACCGAGCTTAGAAGAAGAAGCAAAAAAAAAAAAAAACATAAAAAGAGAGCAGTGAAAAAAAAAAAAAGCAGCGAAGAAGAAGAAGAAAAAGAACTCACCTGGTTGAATCGAGCCGAAGAACTCAGACACTGTTGGCACATAAATTTCAACTAAATTTATGACACGTATGGAGTCTATGATAGGAAGGTTGTAGGTAATCACTTCCTAAAAAAAGATCAATGTGATCCGTTGAAATACATAAATAAAACAACGTTGCATCTCAACAACGTTATTCAAGATACTCAAGTGACACGTGGAGCCTACGAAAGATGACACCTGTAGAGCCTACAAGAAGGACACCACACAGGATGAAACCCCAAAGATCAATCCGGTTAATCAGATATACGATTAATCAGATAGCACTATTATTCAAAAAAGATCAATATGATCCGTTGAAATACATAAATAAAACGACGTTGCATCTCAACAACGTTATTCAAGATACTCAAGTGACACGTGGAGCCTACGAAAGATGACACCAGTAGAGCCTACAACAAGGACACCACACAGGATGAAACTCTAAAGATCAATCCGGTTAATCAGATATACGATTAATTAGATAGCGATATTATTCAAAATTCAAATAGACGCTATCATTCAATTTGAAATTCAAATTGAAGATGAAGCATTCCTATCACCTGATGGCCCTCCATAAATATGAGGACCATCACACAGGAGGCGGGGATCAGAAAATCAGAAGTGAAAAGATCAGAGAGAGAGAGAGAGAGAGAAATTGAGAGCTAAAGAAATCATTACAAGAAAGAAGAAGAGAAGTCTAGAGAATTCGAGAGCCTACGCTAATGGCGATGAATAGGTAAAGGGTTCCAAACCCAAGAATTGTATTTTGTATTTGAGGGTTCAAAACCCATAACAACCTCAATAAATATTTATTTTATTTTCTTAAATTGTCTTTTGTTGTTTATTTTGTTCTTCATTAATCGGAGGTTTCATTTGTATAAAATGTGTAATTAACGATCTGAAATACAGATCGGAAATAAGAACCTGCAATTCAAGTAATCAACACTGTTTAGTCCAAAAACTAAACAGTGGACATTTGTAACATAAAATTTTGAAATGTGTTGAAACACTTCATGTTTTAAAATTTGTGTCTACAAATTTTGGCACGCCCAGTGGGACTTATTTCTCCTCCCATCTTTTGAAGAAAAAAAAAAAAAAAAAATATATATATATATATATAGTTGAAACTTACTGATGTATTCTTTTGTTATAGGAATGCTGAAGCAACTGTCAGGAGGCAAACCTACAATCCAGTGGTTCTGAAATCACCAAAGGTGGAGATAGCACCCATTACCCAGGGGGCTCCGAGCGAATGCTCTTGGCTGTCCCAAAGGTAGAACCAGCGAAATCCTGGAAAGATGCACTTCTTTCCCCTATCACCCAAGGGGCTCTGGAGCAAAAGCTCTTGGCTGTCCCGAAGGTAACTGGTGTGACGAAGAAAGTCACACTTCTCCAAAAAGTTGAAAGTTTAAGAAAGATTACCGAAGATTATGTGAAAGCGTCAAACCAGTACGCAACCGTGAGGGCCACAGCCCGAACGAAGAGCTTTCTAATTCAGGCAAAGGAGGCTAATCAGTTTTCAATTACGACTTTTGTTGCAGCTTCAACGGAGGCAACAAAAAATGTTGTGGCCTAACTACTCAAAAAGGTAGAAGACTCCATTAAAATGGTGGAGTCTGCCCAGAAGAAAGCCTCTGCTGAAAACATGGACATCATTAGGGCCATTGGGAGGAGGGTGATGACCCAAACTCCTGTTGATGGAAAAAAGGCCCCTATTGTTAAAAAAATAGTTTTGGCTTACGAATCGATAGTTCTGTTCAGAACACTCGTTGGCTCGATAGGGTTCGAATAAGGAACACCCGTTGGCCCGACAGAATAAGGAGCACCCGTTGGCCCGACAAGGTTTGAATAAGGAACACCTGTTGGCCCAACAGGATTTGAATCAACATCAATTGATCCGTTCTAAAAATGTAGCGATTGTTCATAAGGAATTTGCAGAAACGCAAACGGTTCCTTCTATGCCCCTAGGGGCTCGACTTGATATGTCATTCGGTCCAGTTTCGAAAAGACAAAGGCGAAGAAGAAATAAGGCCTTAAAGAAACTGGAACTAAGAACAGTGGCAACAAATGTTATAGGAGCTATTGAAAGGGCTCTCTCGAAAGATGAACCCCAAAAACAAATTGAAAGTCTTGTCTTTGTTGGAAAATCCAAGGTGGATGAGGGTAAGCAACCCTTGGGAAATATTTCTACTTTGGTTGAACTATCTATGGAGGGAATAAGAAAAGGGCCTGTGACAAGGTCCATAACCCGTCAGGCTCAAAACAAAGCATCGCAGTCAGATGCTTCAAATATGAGTAATGTTGTGGGGGTTGATAATCCTTTATACGAACAAGATGATTCTATCTGGTTTGTTTCAACGACTATTGGAAACAATGAATTGAAAGATATCCACAAAGTCGCAGTTATGATGACTGAGGTTGAGAAAGAAGGTGAAAATTCGCAGGTCCAACAAGACCAAGGTCTCAAGGAAAAAGTGGTGGCCCTACAAGAACAACTTGAGAGAAGAGAACGGGAAATGACTGCTATGTTGGAGCAAATGCAACAGTTGCAGGCCCAAATGACAGGACCAGGAAGTGCACCCAAACAAATGACGACACAACCTGTTGTGGGGACATCCGTAGGCATACAAAGTACACTAGCCCCAGGGGGCAATGGTCCTTGTTACTCCGATCTAACTAGTGGCGGTATGAATCCAGTGCTCATGGCCATGATTGATGATATGGTGAGGAGACAAGTAAAGAAAGTCAAAGAAAAAGATGATGAAAACTTTCGAATAATTACAAAACCTTACCCAGCATGGGTAGATGCTGTTCAATTCCCTTCTGGTTTTTCTCAACTAGATTTCAAAATGTTTGATGGAACAGGAGATTCAAGACAACATGTGGCTCATTTTCTTTCAAGGTGTGGGCCAATAGCCCAGAATGAGGCCCTGTGTTTGCAGCTATTTGTTCAATCACTTGAAAGTTCTACATTTACTTGGTATGCTAACCTTCCTGAGGGATTAATCCTAAATTGGGATTCCATGGTGAAGGAGTTCTTTAAATAGTTCTGCAACACACAAATGCGAGTTGGAGTACCAGAACTGATTGAGACCAAGCAACGTGACAATGAGTCTGTTACAGATTTCATTGCAAGATGGCGCGCTTTGACATTTGCTTGTCCTCAAAAGTTT